TTGGTTGAGAGCTAGGGAAGATTTCATCGTAGGTCCTTGTGTCTGATCATAAAACCTACCACTCAAGGTAAAATAGCTGATCCTCATGGATGAGTTAAGGGCTATAATGATAGAGGCTATATTTAAACTTATTACTTCTATAATCTCTGCATGTTCCTCCATAATTTGCGCTACAGAGTATAGACGTTAAGACACACGCACACGCATACGCACACATGCGAATGCAGTCAAGCAAAAGTAGTAGGATCAATATGAAAAATAATTAACTAAACCATCCCATGTCGATCTATGCCTATTCATCTTCATTTTTAGTTATGATTGTATATAAGAGATCAGATAGAGCCGAATAGGCTTCTTACATAATGTTAACGTGACACTTACAAGAATGAGTTCCAGCTCTGAGGACATCCATCATGTCATGGAAAAAAGCTCAGCCCGTTTTCACACGAAGCGAGAAAGAATGTCTCGTGTAATGTATCGTAGTAAAGCCAAACGGCTGCAGTACAACGGGATTCCGCCGCCATCGTATGGTTGGAGCAACCTACAAATATCTTCTACATTCACTTTCATACGAAATGAAAGTCTCCTAAACAATGTTATCTCAGGATAATCATCGAAACCCAGTTACTCTTCGTATCTGTTATTTCATAGTTTGCTGTCTGATCGAAATACAAGTTTTGATAATTAAAAGACAAAACTAAAAATTATGACATCAAAAACCCAGAAACAGACCACTTACATGAAGAAAAAGTGGGTTTCGAAGAGGCCATTAATAGATTGATGTTGGAGTACCTTTCGTTTTGTTTGAAGGGGAACGAAAAATACTACCGAACAAGGAGATTTCCACTCTCACATCACACTCATTCAAAGAGCATTCACACAACACCCGTGCAATGAGACGCATTTACATATGGTAACATTGCAGAATCAAAGGAATATGTGTTCAAGGGGAGGATGCAGCTAATCGGTTTCAATTGCACCCACCCAAATCATGGGATGCCTCATTAAGATTGCAAAGTTGGGTATAGGAAGTAAATAGGATTTCAGTCGGCTTTTGGTGATTTTTCGTAAATGATGGCTTCTGGCTCTGACAATATCAGGCAACTATCGAAGGAAAGTTCAGCACGGGTTCACCGGGGTCACATGACGCCGAGCTGACAAGGGCTTCTTACAGCCAATCAGTCACAGGTGCAAGAGAATTTTCGCTCGCCATTTGGTTTGGCCAAGTTATGAATTTTCATATCTTAAAGGCAAAATAGGGCCAATCGTACCTGCAATCGGAGAATCATATCGAAAAAGGCGTCATCCTCGGGTCCGGTAGGCAAAGAGTGTATGTCTTGACAAGACACTTCAGCACTAGTCCTGCCAACACAGTTGCCAGTGCCGTTTGGGTTTCTCGTCACGACCGCCTGAGCTGCCTCTGCAGTCGTTTGACTCTCACTGATCTGCCAAGACTGCCCTGCAGACTTTACCGGATCAGTAGCTTCTTGTGGCGACTTGACGTCCCGACGTGTGATAAGGCCAGCAGCCTGACTACCGCGTACACGCAAAGACCAATTGGATCGGACACCGAGGCCTCGGCGACGAGAGAGAGGCGACAGAGTTGCATTCGAGTCAACAACCTCACCATCATGACCTGATCTATCTCCCACTTCCTGGGTGCAAGACGAAGTAGTGGCTGTCGGTGACACGGAAGTGGAAAGATCACTCCGATTACGAGAATGATGCGGTCTATTGTGGCTATCAGTTTCCGACACGGTGCTGGCCACACCAAAGCAGTCCTCCTGGGATGACTTGGCATCTGAATCAGTGCCTGATCGGCGAGTCGATCGGACGTGGCTAGTGGTCAGGCGGGCGAATTCACGACCTGAATTAATGATTTGGCCTCCGTCTGTCAGATCTCCGACTGCGTCCCTAGAACCCAAAAGTGATTGGGTTCCGGCCGATGCCCCAAGTCCCGAGAAGGCAGGAAGAGTGGCACGCTGATCATTCATTCGAAAACGCTAAATAACACAAGGCAAATGAAGGGTGGCATAAATGTCATTGGTTGGTAACTGGAATGTATTAAGTATACATTTGTTGGGCAATAAATGTGTAAATGTTAATTTATGTAAATGTACCAAGTCAACGGTCCCGTAGTGGAAATTATCATGACTACCGTGGCAGAAAACGAGGACTGGGCATATTTCATAAGGTCATACAGCCTAACTGTATGAAATGCCACGACCTCATTTTCGCAACGTGTTCGTGTTGCTGGGGCGACCTAAATGAACGCCATTTGAGCCAAGTCCTCTGATATGGTAGTTATGATAATTCCCAACGTCAGTGCCTGGACTTGATACATTCACAACATTGGAAATTATCACAACTTCCATAGCAGAGGACTTCGGACAAGGCGCACCCAACCAGGTCGGCCTGGCAACATGAGTAAGTTGCGAAAACAAAGTCGGTCCACGTCCATACGATGAAAAGGGACTGCAACCA